TTGTTTAGAGAATTTGGCTAGGATATTGATAGCTTCTTTTTGAATAGAGTATTTGGCCTTCTTTTCATCGTGGGTTGCTATTGCCTTGCAGTATTTATCTCTGTTAAGAGCGATATAATTGCTCAGACTTGTGATAGCAGAGTTGAAAGCCGACTCAATTTCTATTAACCCTCGTCCACCATTTCGTCGTTTAATATACAGCCTATGCACATCGGCCTTTGGGTGATGTAAGCCACCTATGGTGAGAAGCTTCCTAGTTTTGCAATCCACTTTTTCAAGTTCGCTTCTTGGCCAATCAACAATACCAAAACTATAGGTCATGAGCGGAACAGCTAATGTGTTGATCGCTTTTATTTTATTCGTTGCGTTTAATTCTGTACCTAATATCTTCCTTACTCGCCGGTAGTACTCTTTTGAAATTTTTGTCTTCATTTTATTGTTATCTATCCCGTCCATTTCTTCAACCCCTAGGTACTTGTAAGACTCACCAATATCTAGATTTCTTATCGATGTTTGTTCGTCTAATTTTACATTATCTATCTTAATTAGCTTGCCACCTTTATATATTGCCCTAGCACATTTATCAAGTCCGAACGCCATTCTGATGTCATCACTGAATTCCTTGACTGTTGAGAGTGCTAGTCGTAATTGGCTTTCATCTTTTGTGGACAACTTCAGGTCGTCCATATAGAATAGGTGACTAATTTTGGTACTATCGTCTAGCTTAAAACTTATATTTTGACTATTTAACATGTTGGTAAGCGGAATCAATGCCATGTAGAATAGCAGTGGGGAGAGGGAGTCTCCCTGGAATATCCCTCTTTTGATTTTAATGGGCTCTGTTTGAATATGGCCTTCTTCATAGAATAATAGCATCTCGGTTTTCCAAGTTTGCATCGATTTATTAATGAATTGGGATATGGTTGGATTAATGCCACATAGCTGCATCATGGTTGATATCCAAGAATGTGGTACACTGTCGAATGCTTTCTTATAATCTATCCATGCCAGGCCCAGTCCACGCATTCGTTTTTTCGCAGTATATAGATACCACCATTTTACTCAGTAATAATTGGTCCTTGCAACCTCTCGAAGCTCTTCGACATTCTTTCTGTTCATCTGGAAGAATTTTATGTGCAATTAAATGGGAGTATATGCGGTTCGTAATGGCTGCTGTCAATATTTTGAATATAGTAGGTAGGCAGGTTATCGGCCGATAATTTTTCGGATCTTTGGTGTCTTTTCCTTTAGAGAGTAAGAATGTATTACCGGTGGTAAGCCATTGTCGTGCATTATTAGGATTCTTGATAGTTTCGTTTATAGCATTTGTTAGGTCTGCATGCAGCGAAGTAAACTGCTTTAGCCAAACATTTTGTAGTTTGTCTGGTCCAGGTGCTTTCCAGTTTTTTAATTTTTTAATGACCGTTGCTATTTCTTCCATAGTGAAGTCCTGCCAAGAATCTGACTTGATATGTTGGTATTTCTCTCTTTCTGCTCTTATCCATAATGCGTTTTCATTATGTATCACCTCGTTCTCTAGAATTCCTCGCCAAAACTCTTCAATTTGTTGTTGGGTAGGCGGATGTTTAATTACATTGTTTTCATTGTTTAGTTGTCGGTAGAATTTCTTTGTATCTTCGTTGAACATTTTGTTGTGGTGGTAATGATTACTCCTTTTCGTATACCTTCTAAGCCGTTGTGCTTTGGCCTGAAGCTTCATCTTTATGGTTTGTTCTATCTCTGAAATGCATTTGTCCTTTCGGTACTTTTGTATTAGCGTATCAACTTTCTTTTGTACTTGAGCTGTCGTAACTCCCTTTTTGTATTCAATAATGATAGATATTTCCTGACTTAGTTCTTCAATAGTTTTCTTTATCCTCATCTTCCAGGCTGGTTCCTTTGACTTGTGCTTTGCTTTAGACTCACATCTTTCTTTTATTTCACCAGCTATAGCTGCAGCATACATAATGTTATTAATATCGGTAAGATTTAATTTTTGGTCACCTTTTAACATCTTAATAGCATTATTGGCCTGCATAATCTGTTGTCTTACCCTCTGTGTTAATTTTATCTTCTTTATTCGTTTTTGCTCTTTCATATTACCCGATTTAATCGTTAAGATTTTCTGGGATATGTTTGCCTCCATAACCAATACGTCTTCATCTGTTGTATATTTTGCCACGGTTGTTTGGCATCTCTCTGTAGGACAGGGTTGTGTTTGCGGTTGTGACTCTTTCTCAATTATTTCTTCTAGTTGGGTTGTTCTACTTAATTGAGCATCGACATCGTCTTTTATTTGCTGAAGCTCGATATCTGTAAGTTTCTTCCCTTTTTCGATATATCGTCTTTGGTTTGCGAGCGAGTTGGAATCTAAATGGGGAAAAATATCCGGGTTTTTTTCCCTCCATACCGTATAGGTACCTTTAGTAACACCTCCATCAATTTTTGTAGCTTTTGCATAGTAGTAGCACCACATAACACACTTATATTGCTCCTGTGTCCATTGCTGTCTTGCTTTTCTCTTACTTAAAACAGACATTGGCTCATCATTGCCAGATAGGCCAACTTGAGACTGAGTCTGGGTTTGGGTACTATCAGGCTGCGCTGGAGTTCTTACTGGTGTATGCAATGTATCTTGTCCATGTCCGTTGCCATTGTCGTTTGCAGGTAAATCATCACGACGACGGTTCCGACCCGGGTCTTGCTGCCCCGGCCCTGAATGCATTTTAGAGCTACTGCCAGCGGGCCTCCGATTACCCAAATTTAGCCGCCCCTAACATGGAGACAGACGCTATCGGGTAGCTGTTCCTTTGGATACAAACGCTACCTGTCGGCATAATCACAAATGGTATATCGACCCCCTTTTAGACTTTTGATTCTCATCAAGCAGGGACTACTACTGGTTTTTGTCCACCCCGAGTATTTTATTTCCCCGGTACCCGCCATATCTGGCGAGCGTTTCCCAATTCGCACAGGGAGGTGTCCGATAGGAGATCCAGCAGCACCCACGGTTTATTATTATTATTATTAACTAATATAATATATTAGTAATAATAACTAATATTTTAGTGATTAATTGATTTATTTCTTTTATAGCTTATTTTACTTATTACATATTGGCAAAACCTAGTCCATTATGAAGATTATTATAAGCGTTATTATGGGTTATTTATTTATTGATGTACAACTTACAAACGCCATAAGGGGTAATAACAAGTAAGAGGGTGCTATTAATGCACAAACTAATAATCACAGAATTTATTAAAAACTAACTTTAAAAGTGGTGCTTATCAATAAAACTTACTTTTCTGGCTGCAGTCAAGGGTAATAAAGGACCTTTATTGTCACGTTCTCGTTCAAAATAGTTAAAAAAAATAGGGAAGCTACAAGCTCTTTGTTTCGATTGTTTAAATGCTTCGGCATATTTTCAACACACAATTTCAAGAAACGCAATACAAAAACTCGATAATTTAGTTCTTAAAAGAACTGTTTGTGCTTAAAAGTGCAATTTAAAAAAAGAGACTAAGAAAATAGGCAAAAAAACGAGAATTTGTCACAAAAATTCAACACCACGATATTATACAAAATAATGACTGACACTAGGATAATTGTCAAATAATAAAGGACAACATTGCTGAACACGGAGCAATGTGACCAACATAGCGATAATAAAATTCGGTTTAAACTAATTATTGCAGCTTTAATCTAAATAAAATATCTGTTACAATCATTTGCTCTATAAAGTAAAATGAAGAGCTGCTCGGTATCTTAAATTATACAACAAATTTAAACATTTTTGCCAAAATTTCATTTAGTCAAGTTTATAGACTTTAGTGTCAATATCGATATGATTGATGACGTGCATCGGAAAATGTTTGGCGATTACAATATTCATGTATGGTGGACGCAAAAAGGACTCTAGGGTGGGGATCCTTGACAGTTCTGTTTGACGATTCACTTGGCACATTTGAATTTGATTTGAAATTTTGTGGATTTATCAGTCTTTACTGAGCTTATTTTATGATATTTGTTATATATTCTACAACTAGTTGTTTAGAGGTCTCTAGAAGGATTTTTTTTACGTGTAGTAAATCGATCATTTATAAAATTCAATTAAAATTAACTAATTATATATTTTTCCTTGCATATTTGCTTTTGTTTACTACTTGCCAAAGATTAGATGTCAAAAAATTTAAATGCGTTAATTTGACTTACATGCTTCAGTAGGTTTCAGTAGCGTATCGGATGTTTGTGTTAATAAATACTTATTATAACTTATGTATTTTTATTAGAATTGCATATTTTTATAACAATTTTAATATCTACCAACGATTATTCACAAGATAAAATAAAACAACAAATCATTGAGTCTACCCTACATCACATTTTACACGTTTTGAATAAAATTAGAATAGCACGGATAAACCGGAATTTAAGTCGGAATTTTAGAGTCCCGTCGCGGTCGATCTAAGATTTTTGATATGCTCCTTCCTTAATCTTTTTATTCAAAGGAATGTTCTAATGTTATAATAGTCAATGTGCGTTATTCATAAATGGTTCTCCGTCTTTAAAACGTCAAACATAAACAGCTGACTGTATGTCGTTCTTGCAGCAGTAAAAACGTAAAATTCTCAGTTTAGTGTGATAATTATCTCAAAAAATCCCAATTTAGAGTTATGTCGTTCTTGTCTCAAATGAGCGATTTATTTATTTTAGTTTTTCTAAATGTACAATAATTTCTCTAATTTGTTACATGTTTAATAAATTAAAAATGTTTAACGCCTAACAAAGTTAACCGTGACGATGTACAAAATTCTCAATTTTGTTAAATAATTTTAGTTTTAATTTTCTGATAATAATGATAATACATTTAAAAAAACGAATATCTCATTTCAATTATTATTATTACAATTAATAATTATTGTTTCTGAATAAATCTAGATTTAAATTTAGATTACAAATAAATTTTAAATTCTCTGTACACTAACTAATTAACATACTTCTGAATCAGAGTCTTCCCATTCTGTCAAATTTAATTCCGCTTTAAAATTAATAGGGTCATATTCATTTATATTTTTACATTCGTTGAGTTCTTCAAATATTCCAATACCATTACAGTCTGCGAAAAATCGAACACTCAAATTCGGAATATCACTAGTGTTGGCTGAAAATTCTACTTGCCTAAAACATCCATTATTCAATTTAAGAATAAACTTTGAAGCATTGGTACAAATACAAACAGCTAGCAACTACAGTGCAGCCTCTTTAATCGGAGCACACGTTAATCGGAACACACTAAATGCAATTATGCGTAATCGGAACGCTACCTCCATAATCACAACGATCCTCTAAATACTTTTCAATTACGTAGCACGGTATCAGATACTTACTCTGACGGTATCTCCTGGCTGTATATTTCACTTTCCTCTCACTTTTAGTAATAACATGTTTGAACGTGAATGTATAAATCAATAGATTTGTTCGGGTTCTTGTTATTACTGATTCTGAACCGTCCTAGAACTCTGCAGCGCATGCGCAAATGAAATAATGTCTTCATATTTCCTTCTGCGCATACCCATCACATTTCTAGGACGGTTCAGAATCGGTAATAAGAGAAACCCGAAGTAAGCTAATAATTCATTTCTGATCCTTAATATCTATACCTGACGATTATTAGTTTCGTTATACAGGGTGAGTTTCCTACGATGTTCTCTATGGGTATCTCGGAAACTACTGAAGATAGAGAGTCGGTTAAATGGGAAAAGAATTGCAGTTTTGTGGGGTCATAAATATGCACCTTTCAGATTTTTGAAAAAAGTTCATGGCTTACTAGATATTTCGAAAAAAACAAATTTTGGCTATTTTAAATATTGTCCCTAATTCCATTATAATCTATTTTAGACAAAAAGTTTTCAGATAAAAGTTGTAGATAATCACATCCTTAATGAGAGTGTGTACTCCGTTTTTTTCTAAAGCCTGTTATTTTTGACATATGACACAAACATATGTTTTATTTTAAATGGAAACCATAGTTGGCCATGGCTTCATAAAAAGGGCCATTTCTTAAGCTTTTCAGTGATATAAGCTATAATATGTTTTTTTCACAAAATTACTGAGTTATAGCCCATTCTTATCTTTCTTGACTAATATCACTTAGTTAGCCATGGAAACAAGTTCAATCATCGTTGCTCTTAGAAATGTGAAACTATCACATCCAAACTTTGTAAATTAAAATAAACAAAAATTGTAGATCGTAGAACACATACTCATTAGGGATTTAGGGTGATTATCTACAACTTTTATCTGAATTTTTTTTTTCTAAAATAGATTATAATGGACTTAGGGACAGTTTTTAAAATAGCCAAAATTTGTTTTTTTCGAAATATCTAGTAAGCCATGAACTTTTTCAAAAATCTGAAAGGCGCATATTTATGACCCCACAAAACTGCAATTCTTTCTCTATTTAACCGACTCTCTATCTCCAGTAGTTACCGAGATATCCATAGAGAACATTGTAAAATTAACTGTTCAGATTGAATAGGTTGCACTGTATTTTAGAAGAAAATATATTTCACAATTTTTGAAAAAATAATATATATAAAAAAATATAAAATTTGAAATAGTGAGGGGAATATGGAATATATAAAAACAGAAGGAAAAAATTAGTCGGCAAGCCCTCAACAAACTCGTAACCGTATACACCTACATAGTGTTTTTATTTTGCTACACCAGTGTACACTATTGTAGACATTCACACACACACACACAACAACCACACCTACATCAGTGTCCACTAGTGTAACTGCCTTCCAGCATCATCAGTACGGTAAGGAATCAGCAAGCGATGACAACGATCCCAAAAAAATATAAACCAGGAAGCAAACGATACACGAGGCACCGTCTGCAACCTATAGTAGATGAAAAAAAAAAGGATGATAAAAAACAAAAGGAGCAAACGGGAGCCTAAGGCCCCAATTTGCAGCCTAGAACTAGAGTCGCCCAGGATTGTGGGCTTCGTCTAGCAGTTATTTACTATCGCTTTTTTTTGCTTCCTGGTTTATATTTTTTTTGGGATCGTTGTCATCGCTTGATGATTCCTTACCGTACTGATGATGCTGGAAGGCAGTTACACTAGTGTACACTGATGTAGGTGTGGTTGTTGTGTGTGAGTGTGAATATCTACAATAGTGTACAGGGTGAATCAGCGATAAAGTCCATTATCTCATTTGTTTCGAGGTTTAGAAAAAAATATTATATATAAAAATTATAGGGACGATTAAGATACACATTCTAAAATTATTATAGAGTATACAGGGTGCTTCAACAAAGTGTGGCGAATATAACATATGTTTTTTTAAATGCAACACTATATTTTTTATTTCATTTTTAGATTCTGCCTAAAATTTTAAAACTTTTTTTATATATAATGTTATATACCTAAAATGAATAGTTTTTGTAATATTTAAATTTGTTTAAACAAATGTTAGATTGCAGTGTGATAAAAAATTGTCAGTGATGCCGTTGTTTCTGAAGTTGGACAACTAAAATTTGGTAGGAGAATCTTATAGAGATATAGAAAAAAATCTATGTAAAGATATTTTAGTTAGATGCTACAGGGTGTTCAAAATATATTTATGAATTTCAACTACTTACAATTAAGAAATTTCAAATTTTTTAAATAGTACACCCTATATATTATCATTTTTTCTGATAGACTTTACAAAACTCTTCAACTTTTATTAAGTATGTCATATACCTATTTTTAATAGTTCGCGATTTATTCCAATTTTTTCTATTTCTACCCATATTTTTAATACAGTTACGCTATAACATTATAGATGCAATGACAAAAAATAATAATTAATAAAATTTCATGTCTGTTAAGAACAAAATTTGAATTTTGCCTTATTGTGGTAATGGTAGAGGTAATAGTTACATATTTTCCTGAAATTAATTAGTCAATGTGACTGATATACACGAACAAGCCAAGAAAATCATATTTTTTGGTTTAGTACTATATATTATATAGTGCTTTGCTAAGTACTATAAGAATAGATGTAGATTATCTAGAAAACATCTTCAGTGTGTAAAGGGATGGTTTGGCGGCAGTAGTAATATGGGCTTTACGAAATGAATTATAATCAGTCAAACATTATAGTCAGTCACTATATCAATAGTCTTCAACAATTAAGTAATTTAGTATTATCCTAATCTGTCGCTATTCGCCCCGACGGAAAATCCCCCCCCCCCACAAGTGTCATTTTTCATAATATAGAAATACCAATAAACCAAGAAATTCACGACTGCGATTTTAGTTTATTTGAGTAAAGTTAATTAATTTTAACTAATACTAACAATTGTAACTAATTATGAAGCTACTTGTTAAAGATAAGTAATACATAGTTTGTTTTGTCATGGCAACTATGATTTTATAGAGTAATTGTATTAAAAATCTGGGTAAAAATAGAAAAAAATTGGAATAAATCGCAAACTATTAAAAATAGGTATATGACATACTTAATAAAAGTTGAAGAGTTTTGTAAAATCTATCAGAAAAAATGATAATATATAGGGTGTCCCATTTAAAAAATTTGAGATTTTTTAATTTTAAGTAGTTGAAATTCATAAATATATTTTGTACACCCTGTAGCATCTAACTAAAATATCTTTACATAGGTCTTTTTCTATATCTATATGAAATTCTCATACCAAATTTTAGTTGTCCAACTTCAGAAACAACGGCATCACTGACAATTTTTTATCACACTGCAATCTAACATTTATTTAAGCAAATTTAAATATTACAAAAATCATTAATTTTAGGTATATAACATTATATATAAAAAAGTTATGGAATTTTACGCAGAATCTAAAAATAAAATAAAACATAGGGTGTTGCATTTAAAAAAACATATGTTATATTCGCCACACTTTTTTGAAGCACCCTGTATACTCTATAATAACTTTAAAATGTGTATCTTAACCTTAACCTATAACTCTTGTATTTAAAACTTTTTTGTAAACCTCGAAACAAATGAGATAATGGACTTTATCGTTGACTCACCCTGTACACTGGTGTATACGGTTACGAGTTTGTTGAGGGCTTGCCGCCTAATTTTTTCTTTCTGTTTAAAAAAAAATATATATATAAAAAGAAAATATAACTAATTCAATTCCCCTTTTTAAAAAAATAAATATGACATTTCGTTAACTCTTAACTAATTTTTTTTAATATTACGTACCTGATAAAACGTTTAAAACCATCGCTCACTAAATCTAAAATATTGGAAGAATCTCTTTCCAGCTCCCCAACATACATTTCTTTTTCTAATATGCTATTTGCTAAATTTAAATAATAACCACTTTTCTCTCGTGGGGCGGCGACTATAAGATTTACCTAAAAAAATAACACAGAAAGAAAAAATATATTAAAAAAACGATTAAAGTTAAGTCTATTTTATTATACAGGATGGTCCGAATTGTATTCCGGAAACTTCGGCAGCATATTTTGTAGATAAAAATAAGTTAAAAAGTTCGTATAAATATATGTCCTAAAATGCTTGGTTTCGGTGATACAGAATGTAGAAGTTTCATTTTTATTTCGATTTTTTCCAAATAATTTCTGAAGTAACGTCAAAATTTGGATGAAAATTAGTGCCTGGGAGTTTTTTGACATGAGAAATTTGATTTTGATGTCCATATGACTCCTATTTGTAGGGGGCGCCACCTACATGTGTTTTAACTGTTTTGAAGTGTAATAACTTTTCATCCGCACCTGTATAAAACTACCGAGTGAAAAAATATATATTTCTGTGACTTTTTACGTATAAATGTCTCTTCGTAAAAATCGCTAGGAGTAACCGTTCTCAAGATATTTAGAAAAGAAATAGTCAATACATGTCATTATTGATAAAAAAATAAACACGTTGAGTAGGTAGTTATTTGACTGAAATAATAAATTTGGAAAATTTTTACTTTTTAAACTGATTCTACGAAAAAGTTATGATAAAACAGTTTCTGTTGAACTTTTGACACAAAAACATTTCAAATTTATGATTTCGGCCTAATAACTATTTAGTCAACATGTTTAATTTATGTCAATGATGATAGGTATTGATAATTTCGATTCAAAATATCTCGAGAACCATTACTCGTAGCGATTTTTACTAAGAGATATTTTTTACGTGGAAAACGTTGTAAATGTATATTTTTTTACTCAGTAGTTTTATACAGGTAGGGACGAAAAGTCAATACCCCTCAAACCAATTAAAAATATGTGGGTGGCGCCCTCTACAGTAGGAGTCACATTGACATCAAAATCAAATTTTTCATGCCAAAGAGCTCCCAGATACCAATTTTCATCCAAATATTGACGTTACTTCAGAAATTATTTGGAAAAAAACGAAATAAAAATGAAATTTCTACACCCTGTATCACCAAAACTAAGCATTTTAGAACATACATTTATACGAACTTTTTTACTTATTTTTATCTGCAGAATATGCTGCGGAAGTTTCCGAAATACAGTTTGGACCACCCTGTATAATACCTTAACATGGTACCATACAAGCAAAGACATTTAAATATATGTGTATATTATGAATATATCGTATGATCGAAAAAGAACGGCTTCAGCGATGGCTATGAAAAGAATATTGCTGTCATTTTATATGTAAAATTATATGGAGAATGTCATCGATCGCCATTTCCAATTCATACGGTATTTATTTGCAAATCAACGTGTGTTTGTACGCCCAAAAAGTTCAACATAAGAGTCTTAGATGTATTTTATATAAAATAAAAACATATAAAATATAAACATACATATAAAAACGAGTTAATATCGCACACAACGATGATAAACAACGAGGCGATAAAAGCAGACCTAGGCAGATATTAAAAACCCTATTTATGGTTTTTCTGTAAAATGAACAGGGGAGTTGATTGGCACACAAGGAGAACAGTTCAAAATTTGCATGCGATTTTCTATGTTTTCAACGATGATGCACCACCCGGTATAGGTTTATAGTTTCTTTAAAATGTTTTATTAAGATTTTTAATAAACCAAATATTCATTTTTATATTTAGCATCTTATTTACTATTTTTTACAAAATGCAAGAATTTTACAACAAGCAAACATATTAATGACTGTTTTTCTGTACGTTGTTTATTTCTTTTTTGTCTCGCCTAAATCTAGTACCGCAAAGTACAAACATTACCACTGAAAACAGTTAATTTATTAAAAAATATGTATTTGAAAATTTAGATTTTTTTTGAAATTTTTAGTTAAAAAACGTATTAATGATAATATGGCAACACAGCTAGTCAGCATCACCTTCCAGCTCCCCTACATTTCTTTGTCTAATATATTCTGATGATGTTGTGTGTTAATGCAATTAGCTGCTTCTTTCCGATCATGAGGGATTTATTAGCATTCTGCATTATAGCTTTTGTATATATTTTGATGCAGTTTGTACAGGGTGAGTCAACGATAGAGTAAAGTCCATTATCTCATTTGTTTCGAGGTTTACAAAAAAATATTAAATATAAAAGTTATAGAGATGGTTAAGATACACATTTTCAAATTATTATACAGTATACAGGGTGCTTCAAAAAAGTGCGGCGAATATAACATATGTTTTTTAAATGCAACACCCTATTTTTTATTTTATTTTTAGTTGCGTAAAATTCCATAACTTTTTTATATATAATGTTATATACCTAAAATTAATAGTTTTTGTTATATTTAAATTTGTTTAAACAAATGATAGATTGCAGTGTGATAAAAAATTGTCAATGATGGCATTGATTCTGAAGTTGGACAACTAAAATTTGCTAGGACCATTTTATAGAGATATAGAAAAAAATCTATGTAAAGATATTTTAGTTAGATGTTACAGGGTGTTCAAAATATATTTATGAATTTCAACTACTTAAAATTAAGAAATTTCAATTTTTTTAAATGGTACACCCAAAGACATTATAAAGATAGACCGAACATTTCATTCATAAATACTCGTTGGAAGTGTATCAAACATTCCAATGTGTCAAACAAGGACAGAAGAGACAGAGAAGTCTAAAATTTCCGACCCCGGCAACTAGGCGCATTTGGAATGTTCTAATGGCCAGTGGCGTATCGTTTTTTGGAAGGAATTTAATTAGTAAAGTAAAAGTAAAGTAATTAGTAAAATTTTTACTCCATGTTAATATACTACATTAACACTTTTTCGTCAGATGAGTTTTGTTATAAGGTCTAATATAATAATATCATTAATATCCCATATATACTTATGTTGAAACGTTAGTAGGTAGTCTTCGAAAATCGCTCCAACGTCGATTTTCAATTTAAACTTTCAGTTACTTCTATATAAACTTTCAGTTACTTTTGAATATTTACAGGGTGACTCAAGTTTCTGAAACAGTTCTATATTAGGTTTGTGGTTGGTGACTTTTCTTTCATTTTTTTTTCAGAATATGGAGGCGATGGTAAAGCACATTTTAGACATTTTTGTAAACATAGGTAGCCGGAACATATTTTTAAACTAAAGTTGTAGATTTGCCATTAAATTTCCATTCCAGAAATACCTAGGGTTGCCACCTGTCCTTTTTTGAAAAGGACAGTCCTTTTTTGGAATAACTTGTCCTTTTGACTTTTTTTGACTTAAAAAGTCATTTTTATTTACGTATTTTCCCTGAGAAAATTACCTACAGCAAACAGAAATATTCTTTTTGTCCAAATTTAATTAGAGATGTTATAAAACTTATAAATAAATTTTTCTTGTTTAGAATAGGCAAACATTATTTAGAACTTCCCGTTTAATCTCAAATGACAGTTTAGGTTTTAGTTTTAGCTTTTTTGATCTTAAAAAGAACTTTTCAAAATTAGTAATTAGTAACGATTTAGTTAGTTTGCAATCGATAGCTTCCTGTGAAGTACGGTGTAATAGTTGTTTAATCTTGTATCATTAATAACTTCCTATACCTAAAATCAATATTTAATGAGAAAATTGTGTTTTTTTGAAAATATAAGACAAGACTTGACTCTTTCGGCCTTCTTCTTGTATTATGATGGCTCTGATACGAGGCAATTACTTAACAATTAATTGAAATAAAAATCACGAACCAAAAACGTAATAATAGGTAAAAAGCTTTTTTGGAGGCCTGGGTCACTCTGTATATAGATATGTATAAAATTAGTAGCCTAAAAATTATTTACAGTTCGTCCCATTCTGACAAAAAGTTAAACACACCGTACAAATAACTCTAGGAAGAGGTATTTGTACGGTGGTAAAAAATTGTCTAAACAAGGCCGATGGGGCGGATATAATAAAGCAGTAAAATGTAAAAAAGTTCGGGTAAACACCTTTGTTTATTTTTTGAGCAAAATTCCTTTAGAATATCTTATATAATGACCAAAATATGACGCAATTTTAAGAAAAAAAAATGTCACTTTCTGGCTTATAATAACGTTTCAAATGCAACGTTTATATTCAAATTTGTTATGATCTACAACAGTTAGGTAGTAATTGAGACGAATTATAATTCAATTACCGGCTACTACGTTCTTGTTTTAATAGATCATAATTCAACAAATATAATTAGAAATTATTTTAATTGTAAGGGGCTCCCTTGTGGGACGCCTATGTACAACTACGGCGGAAATTTGTACCTAACTGTGAAAAGACAAATTCGGGTAATTTGAGCTTATTTTTCCACACACTTGACACTGTCGTATCATATTGAAAAATCGCAGATTCAAAAGTACGTTAAACAAAAACAAAAACTACTGAAAAACACTGAAAAGTTCACTTCGGACTTGATTCCGACTTCAAACACACCGTAAGCTAAACGTAGTACGCTATAACGGACCAAGGGCCGTCGCGAGGGGTGGTGGGACGGACGGCTCATTTTCATTCTGGAAGACTAGCAGCGACGTTGCCAATAGTTCTAGATGTTTCAGCACATTAAACAGTAAACATGTCCTTTAATCATCATCATCATCATCATCATCATTAGCCGTTTGTCGTCCAACTTTGGACATAGGCCTCTCCCAATTCTCGCCACCGATCTCTGTTCTGTGCTGTGCGTGTCCAATGTAGTCCTGCCACTCTTTTGAAATCATCGTACCATCTCATTTGAGGGCGTCCTCTCATTCGCTGTCCTAAGTATGGCCTCCATCGCTGAATTACCGTGTTCCATCTATTGTCGGATTGTCTAACTGTATGTCCTGCAAAGCTCCATTTCAATCGTGCCGCCCTGGCTGTCACATCCTCCACTTTAGTCCGCATTCTTATCCAGCTATTTCTTGTTTTATCCTTAAGTTTAACTCCTAACATAATTCTTTCCATGGCTCTTTGGGTCCTCGACAGTTTTTACTAGGCGCATTTGGAATGTTC